CTGTCTCTGACAAAGTTCCATGTATAATTTTTTGGTCTCTTATTATCACACGCTATATATAACTTAACAGTTACTACCATCCTTTCCCTTCCTCCATTTTCTTATCTATCCTCTCAAATCCCTTTTCTGTCTGTCTGTCTGTTGTTCCTTATCTATTTCCTTATTAATGTATCAGTACAGTGAAATATATTTGAGTGAGGTATAAAAGTGTAAGAGTGGGAGTGAGGTGTAAGTGTGTACAAGTGAGGTGTAAGTGTATGAATGAGGTGTAAAAGTGTACGAGTGAAATGTAAGGGTGTATGAGTGAGCATAAAAGGTAAATTTTATTATATGTGTACATATATACCGAAAGCTCCTTTGCATGTGTCATGTTGTGAAAGTAAATGGTGTCTAAGTGTTAAAATAAAAAATATTTCAAAAAAAAAATTGATAATAAAAATACTAATAATGATGTTGTCATCATCCTCATGACTTAAGTGTGTGTGTGTGTGTCCTGTGTAAATGTACATGTACTGAAAAATATTTGGAAAAATAAAAAAAATAAAAAAAAAATAAAGAAAGTTTACAATATGCTGATAAAGCACAAGTATGGTAACGACTGTTTATGAATTTCAAAGACAATATTTTTAAAAAAATCTTAGTTCACCTCAGTATTCTGGGTATATTTATTTCACAATACCATAAGGCTTTTCAAACGCCTGAGATGTTGAGATGGACATACGATTTTAACTTACTCCTGTGGTAAATGGAAGCCATTAGATAACCTAAGATTTTTTTTAAACAGCGTTGATAACGCATATTGTTAGGCGAAATTCGGCCCTAAAGATGTAGGGGTCTAAACTTCAGTCAAATTATATCAAATTATACAGATTATATTAGAGATATATCCCTGATTAACATTACACCATTGAATAACCAACTTAAATGGCGTACCGTAACACCACTCTTGAAACAAAAGTAAAATTAAACTTACTCGCATTCTTTAACGGCATCCTTGATTGCTTTCACTTTCAATATTCGAAGTTTACAACTCTCTATAATGCGAGCAGTCTCTGACGCATCCATATTGTCTGGCGGAGTCTCCGATGTACTCGGTTTTTCTGGAGGAGTCCTCTTTGACTCCTCCATGGTTGATTCGCAAACGGAATATGGCGCCTTGACGACACACCAAAAGTCACGTGGCAAGAAAAATAACAGGGGAGATAACTCCTATTTGCCGATTTATAGGTAGCACGAGACTATTTTCCAAAAATTAGAGCGAAATGTTTTACAAACAAGATCGCTGCTTCTATCAGCTCTTACTGGATTTAATATAAATGTTACTATCTTAGATACTGAAATTGTTAATTGATGTAGACTAATAGTGTCATGGGTAATAATGCATAACCATTATTCCTTCCGCGACACGTGTTTGTGGGATATATCCAAATGGGCTCCATCCGTCCTTCCGTAAACGAAATTAGTCCGGCGAATTCATTCACTTAGTTTACAACGGATCTTTTTTTTAAAAAAAAAATGTGAGAATGGCCAGGACAATATGGAAATGTGCCACTTGAAGTGATTTTGAATCCCCTTCCCCATTTCAGAGGGCAATCCCCCTTTTCTATAATAAATGATGATATGCATTTTGAAAATACCTCTTTTCCGAGCATCCAATTGAAAAGAAATTTGGTTCATACCTTTGTTGAACAGTACCTTTTAACATCAAATCGATTTTTCCTTTGTGATTTCCCCGAAATGTTGGTTGTCATGGCAACTGACAACTGTAAACAAGTTATAGTATTAATGGTCATTACTCATTGGTCATTTAACATATTTTATTATTTGGCTATGGCCAAATAGTAAACTTACATTAGGATACATTAGGTGTTTTAGAGACAGTTTCTATGGTAACACAATCGTCGTTTCTGATTCATTTTCAACTGTTTTTTATTTTTTCGTGTAGTTTTGTATTTTTGGTATATAGAGGTCTTTGCATCTGTGGGAGGTATTAGTTATCATCAGGATGTTTGTTCTAGCTGCATACGTTATCGAATTATTTACATACATGAAAAACGACCTCCTTTCACTGATTAGAAAAGTTAGAACTAACAGGTGATGTTTATTACCTGGTATTTACTTTATTTCAAAAAGGTAATGAAATGACCTGAAACGATCAAGCGTAAACACACTGACTGGCACCCTAGTATATTAACTTTGCCTAATGTTCTGTCTCGGCTGAGTTACAATCCATTACAACGTTTAACAGAAATACTATCATACTTCAACATCAAACATCGGACTTGATTTAAAACTCATTAAAGATATACAGCTCAACGTTTATTTTTAATTAAAAAAAACTTTCACTATATGTAACGATATTTTGATTCCGATTTTCCCCTTCGTGTACCTCAATAAAGTTTAGATCATGGTAGCTTGTGTGTTTGTCATTTGTACGTATAATAGGACAGCATAGTCAAGCACACTCCCGATCTAGATTTAGGGAAATGGAATTACCCGATTAACCTTGAGGTGGTACCTTCCATTTGTATATAAACAGCGACGGACCATCAATCGGTGGCCACTTAGTAAACTTCTAACACCCCTAACCTCTCCCGATACTAACATTAAAATCACAAAACATAACCATAAAAACGTTGGAAAGTTACATGACGAAAGGAACAGTATGGATAACAGAAAGTATAGACATCGGAAAAGCGATCAATTATAGAGTGAAAGAAAAGATAGAAATGAAGAGAAGAATTATACTCGCATGAACAAAAACAAAACAAAAATAAAATCAACAACAGACCACCACCAATACCATACTAACAACTAACCATTCATCCACAGTCCGTCGGATGGGACTTAAATCGGCGGCCCGTGTGAGAGTGTCCATCTTGCACGACAAAGACCCCTCTATGGCTGTTCGAGAAAGAGCAGGCATGATAACGCTGGCCCGGAGGTCAGAGTTAGATTAACAATAGGGAACATTTATTAAGTAATTTTGACTGGACCTCAAAAATACAATCAACATATCGGAATTCACCTAGTGTAGAAATTCCTTCTTCTCCCTCTCATTTCTCACAACGGTCTTCTTGCTGCGTCGTGCTCAATGTTAGACTAGGTATACAATTAGGAACGGGGGTCTCCTTCTAAATTACAGTTTTTAGATCAGGTGAAGTATATCAGATGGCCCCTCTCTACCTCATCTCTATATCTGAAACACCAGTGACGGCTAGGAAAGACTGGCTGGCAACCAAGAATAGATTGGTGACTCCTGGAAAGACAGGTGGCATCCAGGAAAGAATGGAATAAGGGTGTGACGGGTTGGCATCCCAACACACAGCTCTTGTGAAGGAGCACCTCAGCAGGCTACAACAAGCAGTAATGAACAACACCCCCAGGGTCTTCCGAAAGGGGTGAGGATGAAAGGCCCACCGGGACGGATTCAACGGCAACGACTCGGTTAGTCCAAACGACATTGACTGGAACAACTGCAGAAACAAGATGTCAGTGTGGAAAAGTCTGCAAAAACCTGAGGGGATTGAAAGTACACAGGGCAAGGACCAAATGTGGGTCTGTGAAGCTAATGGCAGAACGCACAGTGATAACTGGTCAGACAGAGTCAGGATGAACACCACAGTACTGAGGACCTCTTACTTCCTGATGTTACACAGTCCAGCATAGGGGAGGAACCAGTGAACACAAATCTTCCTCAGGTGGATGCAGGCAGGCAGCCACTGACTAGAAGGGACAGAGTGAAATTGCCACCAGCAAACGACAAACAGTGGGAAGCCTTCGATGATGATTTGGACAAGATTCTTGAAGGCACATTAGCTGGAGATGTGGATAAGAAAATAGCAGCCTGATCAACAATTGTATATACAGTTGGTAAAGAACGGTTTGGAACAGCCAAAGCAGACAAGAAGAGCAATGAGCAAGCTACCAGCAGTAGACGACAGCGAGAGATTGAGACTCTCAGGAAAGAGATCAGAAGCATAACAAGGCAGTATAAGAAGGCAAACCGTGAAGAACAGCTTGGATTCATTGATTTGAGAGCTACACTGAGGGATAGGGGGAAGGCGGAAAGAATATGTAAGGCAAGGCGTGAAAGATCAAAAAGAAGAACCTCCTTTGTAGCCAACCCATACAGATTCACAAAAACAATATTAGAAGGGAAGAAGTCTGGAAATCTGAAGAGCCATAAAGCAGAGGTAGAAGAACATCTGCGGAACACTCATAGTGATGACCAGAAGAGGAGACCATTAGGCCAATGCAGCAGAATTAGTGAAGTGCCAGAACCAGAGATCCCACTAGATAGTAAAGAACCAACATTGAAAGAGGTGAAGGACGTTGTCATGAAAGCACGATCAGCATCAGCTCCAGGTCCAAATGGTGTACCGTACAAGGTATACAAGAAGTGTCCAAAGATCCTTCAGCGATTATGGAAACTTCTAAAAGTTGTATGGAGGAAAGGAAAGATCCCGGAGTGCTGGAAAAAGGCGGAGGGATGCTTGAATCCGAAAGAAGAAAACTCCGAACACATCAACCAGTTTCGGACCATTTCACTCCTGAATGTAGAGGGGAAAATCTTCTTTGCTGTGCTTGCCAGGAGAATGACGCCTACATGACAAAGAACCAGTACGTTGACACATCAATACAGAAAGGAGGGGTACCGGGCTTCTCCGGGTGCATAGAACACATCAGCGTCATCTCCCAGCTGATCCAGGAAGCTGAAGTGAACAAAACTGATCTCACAGTGGTATGGTTGGACCTAGCTAATGCATACGGAACTGTCCCACATATGTTGATAGACGAGGCATTATGGCATTACCACATACCAGAAAACTTTAGGAACCTGATCAGAAGCTACTTCAGTGGGACACAGCGGAGATTTACCACCAAAGAATTCACAACTTCATGGCTGGAACTACAGAAGGGAATCGTTACTGGGTGCACAAAACATTCAGGCAAGGTGGATTCTGAAAGCCTTAGAAAAGACAGTAGCATGGGCTAGAATGTCATTCAAGCCAAGAAAGTCCAGGTCATTGATCATCAAGAAAGGAAGAGTTACGCAAAGGTTCCAACTGACAGTGCAAGGCGAGGACATTCCATCTATCTTAGGAAACCTAATCAAGTGCTTAGGAAAGTTGTTTGACCCCACATTGAAGGATACAATTAACATCAGGAAAGTTGTACAACAAGTAGTGGAAGGGATGAGAAACATCAACAAGACCGGTCTACCAGGGAAGTTTAAGGTGTGGATGTACCAGCATGGACTCTTACCCAGACTTACATGGCCATTGATGTTGTATGAAATCACACTCTCACAAGTAGAGAAGATTGAAAGGGTTGTCAACAGGAATCTTCGAAAGTGCCTTGGTGTACCACCTAGCTTCACGTCTGTTGGCCTCTACTGCACAACAGCCATACTCCAATTACCAATCACCTCGTTAGTGGAGGAATTTAAGGTGGGAAAGCCCAGGCTGATAATGACCCTACGAGACTCGAGGGATGAGAAAGTGCGGATGGCAGGAGTACAAGTAAGAACAGGGAGGAAGTGGTCAGCTAGCAAAGCAGTAGACGAGGCGGAAAGTAGACTCCGACATAAGGATATTGTTGGATCAGTCCCACAAGGTAGACAAGGCCTAGGGATGACAAAAACGACCTACTGGAAAGATGCAAGTACATCAGCGAAAAGGGGCATGATCCAGAGAGAGATTCGATCCAAGGAGAAAGAGAGAAGGCAAGCAAAGGCCGTCGAAATGGGAAGCCAGGGGCGTGGACCAGATGGACCACAGAGCAAAGATCGCTTACCTGGACAGAACTTTGGAGGTACCCTCATTACCAGCTGAGGTTTCTCCTACGGTCAGTTTATGACACTCTGCCGACACCTGCCAACCTAGAGAGATGGAGCCTGACCAACAACCCGAATTGCCTCCTTTGTGAAAGGAGAGGGAACTTGGAGCATATACTGTCTTTCTGCAGCGTTGCAGGGACGGTACACGTGGCGACATAATCAGGTCCTACGAGAGCTGGCAGACATCTTGGAAAGGGAGAGGGTGAGCAGGATTAAGCAGAAGGCACCAAGACCTAAGACCATACAGTTTGTGAAGGCAGGGGAAACATTACCAACAGGAAAGATAGGGCGAAGCGGCATATCGGGAGATTGGAAGTTAGTGGCAGACATCGGCCAGCAACTAACATTCCTGGAGATTGTACCAACTACCTTAGACCAGATCTAGTCCTTTGGTCATCAGGGACAAAAAAAGATTGCCGTCATTGAGTTGACCATATCATGGGAGGAAAGAACAGACGCAGCCCATGAGAGGAAGAAAGCCAAGTATGAAGAGCTACTGGCAGAATGCAGGGAGAAAGGCTGAAAAACTTGGAACTTCCCGGTAGAGATTGGGTGTAGAGGCTTCCCAGCACCATCTGTTTGGAGAATGCTCACTGCACTGGGTGTTACCGGCTGTACTAGAAAAAGGGTAGTGCAGCGGCTCACCCAGGCAGCAGAGAGTGCATCCTGTTTGGTTTGGATGAAGAGGGACGAGAGAAGCTGGAGACCCACCACCGACGCGCAGTGACTGATCACCACTGTGGACCCCCCATCCTGAGAGTGTACCGAGTAAGGGGTCGAAACACGCGATGAAGGATGACCTCGGCTGAGGACGTCGGCGGTGTAGCAGCAATTCCATCTAGCTGTTTGTACGTACTATCCCACTCTCTCTTATCAATCCTACTTTTCCACTCTTACTCTTTTTCCTACCCGTTTTCGTCCGCTGAAAGACCGAAAAGTCGTAATAGTGGACGTGAAACCCGTTCAAATAAATAATATAAATGAAATCATTCCGTGTACTTCAAATCAATCAATCAATCAATCAAATATTTTATTCCTCTTAATAAGAGATACAATATTATACAAAGTTATATATCTAATTGTCCGTTGTTATAATGCATGTTACAATAAAGCTGATAATATCAACAGTCCTTTTGTTTTTAAATGTAACACACAATTATCTAATGTACACAATTCTATGCGATGGCCATAAGATTATTTCTGGTTTTGTCAAAGTAAAGTGTGGCGGCATTTGCTATATATTTTGTGCTTTCCAGATAAAATGTTCTTGTGTCTATTAAATGTTTGAAAGCTTTGGAATCTTTACCTAAAAGATGCCTTAAGAATTCTTCATGTGGTAAATTATTTAGATAATCACCAAACTCGTTGTCACATCTTTCTATGATCGATATCATATACTCAATTCTTAGAAATTGTGTGACGTCACAAGTCGTCACAATATGTAGTATGATGTCAATGTATGAAGATCCACATAGTTGACATCGACCTTCTATCCAGTTTGGAATAGTCGCCAAGATTTTGTTTGAATATCGTACCACGGAACTATCACGTTGAGATTTAACCGGAAATGTCCACATTATCCATGGTTCATAATTTCCATGTACTTCCTTGAAACGTAGGAAATCATTGTCTTTCTGCATACGGTCTGCCAGTAGTTCGTTTTCTAAATACAACGTCACATTTTTAACGCTCTGTTTCCAGCTTGTTTTAGACGGAAATTTAACAGTGTCCAAATAGATATCTAAATTACTGTTCAATTTATATTTCAGTAAGAGTTTGTTAACGTCCGGAATAAATCCCATCTGTCTTTCCCCATTGTTATCGCGATACTGATACAGTCTACGAACTAAAATGTCTTTAGTTAGCGTATATGATGGTAAGTTGATGAGAGAACACAGAAAATTCAGTTTCCGCCGTTCTATTGCAGTTTCTATCCTTATGAGACCTAACAAGGACTCTGCTATGTCTGATCGGGTATGTTTTGGAAGACACTGTGTTCTCTTAGCTATCTGATGTTGAAATACCCGGATTTGCTGTATGTCCTTTTTGTTCGGGTTACACCAAAACTCCGATCCGTACAATACGCTTGGAAGAACCACCTTTTTGTACAAATTTACAGTTATTAATGGATTCGTCCTTTTGCAATCCGATCCAAATTTGGTGATCAGATTGAATGAATTTCTTCCCTTTATGCATGCGTTCTGCATTGCTCAGGAACACTTCAAATCTTCTGATAAGATCATACCAACATGCTTACAAGATTTTGACGTTTTCAAACTCTTGTCCATAAGTGTCCATGTTGCTTTAACGTTTTCGTTTCGTCTTTTCCCAAATACAAGTATTGTACTCTTTTCTGTATTGTACCGGAAGTGCATGGTCTTTGCATATCCGGTACAGATGTCCAGCATATTTTGAAGGGACGACGGAGAAATGGTAAGCAGAACTAAGTCATCTGCAAGCGCGGGGTTTCCACATTTTATGTCCATAATCTTTGCTCCCACATTAGAGTTTTCCAAATCATTCAACAAATCATTTATGTATATGAGATATAAAAACGTGGAAGCGATCCCACCTTGCCTAATACCAGAACGAACAGGTAGCGTCCGTGATCTAGTCCCGTGGGTCATTATAGCGCTTGATATATTAATGTACGCATTGACAAAAAAAAGTCAGTATATTCCCTCTAATACCAAATTCATATATTTTTCTCATCAGCCCAGCGTGCCAGACTGTATCGAATGCCTTCTGGGTATCCAGGAAGGCTGCATAAATTTTACTGTTATTTTCAATATTCCAATAAACACATTCTCTTATGTTGAAAGACACAGTTTCACATCCAAGTCGTTTTTGGAATCCCTGCTGTTGTCTATTTAGCCGGATGCTTGTACATGGGAGCCACTGCTGTATCCGATTACTAACAACCTTCTCCATCAATTTATACAGTACCGGAAGTAGAGAGATCGGCCGGTAATTATCGGGATTAGACCGTGTCTTGTGGTTATTTTTATACAGTGGAATAATGATTCCGTGTTTCCAGGATTTTGGTATAAATCCTAAATTGTGAACTGAATTGAATAGTTTTAATATACAAAGTATCAAGTTCCGTCCACCATACCGGAAGTGCTCATAACAGATATTATCTGGACCCGGAGCTTTTCTCAGTTTCGTGTCTCTAATCGCGTTTTCTACTTCTGTGAAGGTATAATTCGCATTGAGTACTTCAAGATTTTCTGATTTTACACAATGTCGCTTTGGTACTTTCGTTTCCGCTTCCATACGTACTCCGTTGTAAATGCCTTCAAAGTAGCATGCAAAGGCTTCACATATATCCTTTGGAGTTCCATACGTTTTCCCGTTATACGATATTTCTTTACTTTGTGCAGTTTTTGGGCATTTCCGATTTCTAATAATTTTCCAGAAAAGTCTTAAGTCGCACTCTGCTGCCTCTTCGATCTCTAGTATACATTTCTGTATATAATTATTATATGCTTTTTGATGAATTGATCTGAAGTTTTGCTTTGCCTTTTTATACTGAGAATACGATGAGTACCCTGAATAAGGGTAGAAACAGCAACTAAATAGGGAGAGCCTGGACAAGGATATGATAATCTATTTGTTTCAGTTTAATAAAGCACTAAACAAGTGCAAGTGTTTGGCACTGTATAAGTGCCGGTGCGCGATACGAACCAGTGTTCGGTTAGGAGCAACTGCTTTGCGCAATGTACAAGTGCCGTTTCGCTGCGTTGACAACTGCGCGAGTGGGCACCGTTGGTTGTTCTGCGAGACCAACGGATAAAGCCAGGTGCTAGTGTGATGACAGTTAGTGAGCGTGTGGTTTTAGGTATTGTTCTGTATTTTCCTTGTCACTTATCAATCATAGTGTACATATGATTAATTCAGTATAAATTAGGTATTGTTAATTGTAATTAGTTGTTATTAATTGTTTATAGTGCAGAGTAAGTAATTCTCACTTACACCGGCGCTGACAAAGCCAGTGCGCCGTTGTTATAATTATAGTACAGTACATCCCAAATATATCCTTACGACGAACCCAGGGTTAATAAGATACTCTGCAGGTTACATATATATACAAAAGGAAGAAAGAAAAGTGCTTGATTAAAATGTTCATGTATTGATTAATTTTATTAATTAAAGGTTAAAACTTTCCACATTTAAAATGTGATGCCTCTTCGTGAATTACACTGAATAATGTATAAGTTGCACGGGAAGTTTGTCTGTCTGGCTCACGTGTTCGTTCTTTTGTGGTTCATCTCCGGGAACGACTCACAACTGCTCCTTTGTCAGCAGGAAGTATTCCTGACCTTAGAAGAGTTAGTCCCGAATGGTACGTAATCGGTTGCTTGAACGGGGCATACGTTCACGACGTCCAGCCATACGTTCTGTTCTCCAGCAACGTCATCGTGTGGTACGTTTAGCTTGGTGTAGACGACACATACACGCGGCAGGTCTGGGCACGTGATTTTTCACGGATGAGTCCAGGTTTCAGGTTCTAGAGTACAGCGTGGTGTGGTGAACGTTTTTATGGCAGTTTTGTGATCCAACGACGTCTATTCGGCGGACGTAGTGTCGTGGTGTGAGGCGGCATATCATTCCGTGGCAAAAGAGCTCTTGTGGTTGTGGATAACAGGATAACGCTGGCCTGCATGTTGCGCGAGCCATTGCCATCTTCTTGATCCAGAACAATGTGAATGTGCTGCCCTGGCCTGCAAAGTCACCAGATAAGTCGCCTATAGAACATGTGTGGGGTGAGATGCAGCGTCGCTTGCGTCGCATTCAAAATCAGCCGTTGACGTTATCTGACCTGTCACGTGCGTTTGTGAGAATATGGAATGGTATTTTCCAGGCATTTTCAGCACACTTGTTGCATCAACGAGGCGTCGGTGTAGAGCATGCACCGATTTCAATGGTGGACATACACGGTATTGATGAGCTGAACTTTGCTTAAAAACGTTTGTGAAAACTGATCTCTATCCAAGACGCTGCTGACGCAATAACCATATCAACTGAGTTGGTATTAAATAAAGGTAAGATAAAACTCTGTTGAAATTTCCTATATACTTAGTTATAGCCTATTATACACATACACGCTTATTTTCCCGCTATTTATAGATGTATTTGAACATGGTAACACAATTAACGAAGGAAGAGAGTTTTTGACTCGTGGCCTATCTAGGTTTCGAACTCTACGGCAGAATATCATCTAAGCAGGAATGTCGAAAACCACACCACCGACACATACATATATAAATTGTTGTATGTGATTTGGTTGCAATAAAAAAGAAACAAAGGAGGAACCCGAAGTGGTAAAATTATATGGGTAAAAACAACACAAACAAACCATGAACAAAATCGCAGTATAAAAATAACACTTGACGTCATCTTCACCCAGGCGAAGTTACCACGTACTCTTGTGTGAAGAATAAGTAATATTGTCAATCGAAGATCTTTATCATGTTACCTATCATTTTCCCGGAAATCTGTGGAAGCGGTGTTTCTCAAAAATTGTAGCTAAAGGTAAGATCGTTTTTGTAAGAAATTGTTTTAAACTTTGTATCAAAGATATAGAGTGGGATTGGACATAATTGATCTAACTTATATTAAGCACTTTCCCAATAATATTTAACAATACACTCAACACAAGATGGACATTTATATATAACATATATAATTTGTGTTATATAATGGAGAGACAGAGAGAGAGAGAGAGAGAGAGAGAGAGAGAGAGCGAGAGAGAGAGAGAGAGAGAGAGAGAAACCAGGACATCAGAGATTGGAAAAATGCGCCGGAACATATGTCAATTGACATAAAAGTAGAAATAAATAAACTAATGTAAGTATAACAATACCTTTGAGAGTTTGAAAGAGTGCAGAAGTAATATTGAGTATCAGGCAAATCTACCCGACCCTTCCAGGAAATTATGTGCAGCTTTAGCGATTCTCGTGTAATCAATGGACGATAAATTTTAATCTCCTTGACAGAGAATATCCACATTAAAATTGTCTTCGTACCAGGACAGTCTCGTATTAAGGATTGCACGTAGATTAGTGTACAAAGGGCAAATAATTAAAAAAAATAGTGGTAACAGTCTTCACAGGGGTGTCCACATTGACACTAGGCAGTCAATGATGTTTGCTCTAAACATGCCATAGTTAAGCAACTAGCGCGGTTTCTAACACGAGAAGGCAGGATATTGATTTGTCTAGGTCCAGAAGATACAAAATGATAGCTTAATAGAAGAAGAGTTTCTAAAAGTTTCGTCCAGATCATTCCAAAGTTTTGTTGAAGGAAAAAAAGTTACGTGATAGTTCAAAACTTTAAGTGAAAAATTGTGAACTTTGAAATAAAATAACGAAAGCTTGGGAGTTTTACGTTGTTTTTGAAAGTGGCACCAAACTAGTTTCTCGATACATTTTTTTTGTGAATATGGGCAGCCCTGTGACTATTCTTGCAGCATCTAACTAAATATGTTCTAATATCAAAAATTTGTTGCCTCGCAGTTGTCCCATTTTTCAAACGCATATTCAAGCAAAGGTCTAATATGGGTAAGATACATTTTTTTTCTAGATTGTTCCTTTTTAAGATGAGTTAAGTTTACGAAAGGTAGCAACATATTTAGTTACTCTGCTAACGATGTTCTCAACATGACTATTCCACTTACAGTCGTTAGTAAGGATGACTCCTAAGTGTTTATAATGATTAGTAATATGGATTAGAGTGTTGTTAAACGTAAGTGATGGATAAGTGTAGTGTTGATGACGATTTGTTACGACTGGAGCCTCGGTTTTATCGGGATTAAATGACACCAACCAGAGTTTTATCGAATCAGATTTTGCTTCATTTTCAATAATGTTGAAGTCATAGGATGAGTGAGAGAGGGAAGTATCCTCAGCTAAACGTCTAGATAGAGAAGCAAGATTACAAGAAATGTCTTTTTATGTAAACAAGAAAAAATAAAGGACCGAAGACAGAACCTTGCGGACACCTGCATTTATTGTTTGAACGAAGACAGGGAATCATTAATGAAAACTGCTTGCTTCCTGTTGGTTAAATATTCATTCAGCCATCGCAGAAATTGACCAGATATACAATAATTGTTCAGTTTATGAATAAGACCTTTATGTCATACTCTGTCAAAAGCCTTAGAGAAATCACAAAATATGAGAATAGTATGTTCATACTTTTCCAGAGTAGTGATTCATGTTTTTTCCTTCTTCTTCCTGTATAAAGCATGAATATCCGTGATGGATTATATGCCATGTATTTCTTGTAAAGATTTTTTTTCGTAAACTTTTCTTTAATTACACATTAGATATCGTTTAACTCCTGAAAGGCCCTTAATATCGTCGATATTCCATGTGTCACAATCACTTTCGCTCTCTGCATCCCGGGAAAATGTCTTGGCAAAAATGAAGGTTCTATGTGCCACACCTTATGGACAAGACGAAAAGACTTGTTTGATCCAAATGAATCTTGAGGTTGCATAACCGTATACTGTAATGGCTCCAATGTTCCAATGATGAAGAGAGCGAATGTGATCGAAACTTTTGAAGAATTGAGGATGGTATACAGTGTAAATTACAAGCATTTTAAATAAGGCTACATGGTTAATCTTAGCAGACCACAGGTGAATAAAAATAAACATGCTGACTACCAAATTCGCTATTTTCAAATTTTATTAAACTCATCAAAATCGTTAGTAATTTACAATATCAAGCCAAATTAAAATTGTGCAATAGACTTCTTTCATTCACCGTTTAATAAATTAACAATATGAAAACAGGAAAAGATCAATCTGTATGTAGCCTTGTGTGGAAAAATTTACTTTACTTATCACAGAAAAAAGTATATGGTTATTGCACGTTTGAATATCACACAATAATAACAATACATTGAGCTTTTACTTAAAACAGTAGAAAAATCCAGTAATTAAATACAATGTATACATAGATATGGTTTCATCAAAGGCAAAATACTTAACATTACTATCACAGTGCTATAAATTTACCTTATAATTGAAAATTGGTTTTCATTATCTTACAAACTGAAACATCTTGAGACAAAAAGATAGTAAATCATGTGGTAAATCTGATCCTTTTATATAATTTAGTAAATATAGGAAAAATAATAAGAGAGCAATGTACTATTCTTTTTTCCAAAAATTTTATGAAATTATAATCTACATTTTAAAAAATATTCATAAGTGATCCCCGATTGATAACTGAAGTTCTACTACTAACAAATCAAAAATAGTTTCGTATAGTAGCATTTTGAACGTAAAATTCAAAATTATTGCTCATATAAAATTTTAACAAAATGGAAAGTAAATGAAGATAAAGAATCATTATCATTTTGACCAAATGCATTGCAAATGTAATAATATGATATTGATAAAAACTTTTTTCAGGAAATTTTAGAATATGTTACATCAATGGCTGAAACTGAGAAATATTGCATTGTGTCTGATTGGTTCATTTTCTGTTTCCTTTTTTTTACATATATATAAATACATACATACATTTTTTTCTCTTTTTACTGTTTTTTTTTTTTTTTTTTTTTTTTAAATTTTTATTTATTAATTTAAATTCGTCTATTTTGATCAATGGATTCATATGACTATGAATAAACCATCATGCTGTTGTGCTCTATCACATGAAATATACTTTGACTTGATAGAAGTACACTTTGGCCTTACATTAGCATACTTTGACCTTATAGAAGTATACTTTGACCTTCTAGATGTAAACTTTGACCTTCTAGATGTATACAGTGGCCTAATAGAAGTACTGTTTAGCCTTATAGAAGTACACTTAGACCTTATAGAAGTAAATGACAGAGTGATTCTTATCAAACTCTTTTTAATCTATGATCCCTAGATGATCATTATCAGCTGGAAATTTAAGATCAAAGAGCCCCTTGATCTTTCATGTTGATTGTTATTGTTAAACACTGATGTAACCTTGTGGTAAAATTAATCGGACTTCATCACAGAAAAATATGTGGTTATTGCACATTTGAATATAACACAATAATACACTTATGTTTACTAACAGTAACAACATCCAACAGTAATAATTTGTATGTGGCAATATCAAAGGAATTTGAAATATTTATATCAAGGTACTTCAAATATATCTAAAAATTGACAACTGCTCTTCATTATTTGAGGAACTTTAAAATCTTGCAAACAAAAAATATAGCAAATCATGTGGTGAATTTGATCCTTTCATATCATAATTTTGTTAACACAATAAAAAAAAATTCATAAAAATTTTATCAAAGTTATCTTGGTGAAAACATGATACCAGAGTGGTCTATAAATAGAACCAAGCAACATAATTAAATATACTAACTGGACAGAAATTATTCCACAATTGACTCTCTTACTTGTGTAAATATATGTTATTTCTCACCTATACACAAAAAAGCTACATTGATGGTACATAATCGATACCTGAAGTTCTACTTATCAAGAACAGATTCTATGCATAATGAAGTTAAAAATTACACATTAATGCATTACATCTTATACAATTTTGAAAGAAAATGTTAACAATAGCTGATAAACGTGTTAAATCAATTGACAAATTTTTTTTTTAGAAATTTTAGAATGTTACTAAATGAAACTGATGGCTCAAACTTAGACACAATGCATTACGTTTGATTTTCAGCATGTTTCTTTTTTTTCTGTTTTCAAAAAAAAAAAAAAAAAAAATTTCCCTCTCTCTTTTCATTGTTTTTTCTTTTTCCTTTCATTCAAAAGGACTAGTATTCATCCATTGTGATCAACTGATTCACATGACTATGGAGTCATCATGCCGTTGAGTTCTACCACATGAAGTATAACCCTTATAACTGCCAAATCATCGGTACTTCTGTTTGACAGATATATCCACCACACCATTCTTGTAGTTTATCATCCCTTTAGATAGTCCATGACAGCCAAAA